TTCACTCTGGAACCATCTATCCAAAAAAGCCAGGCTAGCACACTGTAGTGTACCAGGCACAGGGCTGGGGTACATCCAGTGATGAGTGCAGGCTCACATGGCAGTGCCTGCTGTTTCCACTCGTGCAGGGGACGTAAGTGAGCATTTGACTGGAAGTGCCCATAGCTCTCAGGGCTGCCCTCTGAACCCTGAGTACAATCCTAAAACCAGCAACTGCCCCCACAAAGACTATGGAATGGGGCGACAATCAGTGTAACTGCAGGACACTCACACTGTAGAAGCATGAGGGCAGGAGCCCCTCGTAGCTCACGGCTAGCTTTATGCCAAAACCCCACTTCTGTCATTTTCCTTGTTTACATGCATGTGGAGCAGCCCAGGGATCCCCGTGAGCTGCCCGCCTGGTCCTCTGAATTCAGAGCTTTCTGGTTGTTCCTAATTGGAAATACTGGTGCTGCCCTCAGGGTCTGTGGGGCTTTGGCCAACCCTGCCTTCCACAAACATCCTGGCCATAAGAGCCAGACTCTGCAGTTCAGAGACTAAGGATAAGAGCCAGACAGTGCACCGGGCAGTTGGTGGTGCATGCCTTTAATCCCAGCACTCGGGAGGCAGAGGCAGGCGGATCTCTGGGAGTTCGAGGCCAGCCTGGTCTACACGAGCTAGTTCCGGGACAGGCACCAAAGCTACAGCGAAACCCTGTCTTGAAAAACAAAAAAAAAAAAAAAAAAAAAAAGCCAGACGGTGGTGCAGGTCTTTGACCCCAGCAATTAGGAGTCAAATAAGGCAATGTTTGTGAGTTCCAGGACTGTCAGGGTTAGACAGAGAAACCCTGTCTCGAAAAAAGCAAACAAACAAAAAAATCACAGGGCCAGAAAGAGCCAGTATGAGCTCTCTGTATCCTAGGCCGGCCTTGAACTTGCCCTCCCGCGGTTTAGCGTAGGCTGAATTCAGATGTCCCGTCACCGCTGTGAGCAGTGAAGCTAGCCAGGATGGCATGTGCCAGGCCAACCACCAAAGCTCATGGCAGGACCTTAACTCTCTGCACACCGCTCAGTTCTGACTAAGTCACTCTGGTCAGCAGAGCTCCAAAAGTCAGGACCGCAAGTCAGAGGGCCGGGAGAAGAGAGACATCCTGTCTTTTGACAAAATAAAGGAGCAGAGGGAGCGTGAACGCCAGAGACAGCGCGAGCGTGAGATCCGGGAGACGGAGCGTCGACGGTGAGTGGGGGCACTGGCTTAGCCTGCCTTAGTTCCTGTCTAAGGTTGGAAATGGTTCCTGGCACCATCAGAGGGTGTAAAGAGTAGTGTCCCTCAGAGCCAGGGCGTGTTCCTGGCAAAGCAGACCAAGGCCTGGCTGACAGAGGACCTTTGGCCTCTGCCGAGTCCTGATGGGGGGGTTGGCTGAGGCCGCAGCCTGCTGTCTGGGCTGATGGCCACCTGCCTGCAGGGAGCGGGAGCAGCGAGAGCGCGAACAGCGACTGGACGCCTTCCAGGAGCGGCGCGAGAAGGCACGCATACAGCGGGAACGGCTGCAGCTCCAGTGCCAGCGGCAGCGACTAGAACGGGAGCGGCTAGAGCGGGAGCGGCTGGAACGCGAGCGTATGCGTGTGGAACGTGAAAGGCGCAAGGAGCAGCAGCGCATTATGCGTGAGCGTGAGGAGCTACGGCGGCAGCAAGAGCAGCTGCGGGCTGAGCAGGAGCGGCGGGCGCTGCGCAGACCCTATGACCTGGAAGCCCGGTAAGTGTCATGCCATGGCCGGGTGCTGCCTCCTCTATGGAAAGCCATGTGGTGCTGTTCCTTGGCCGGCTCTCTGTGCTGTGGCCACCCTGCTTGCATCCTGTATTCGTGGGCAGTGAGAGGCCACGGAGAGAGCAAGATGCTGCCGACTCTGAGCCAGTAGACAGTCACTGCAGGCATGCTGAGGGAGCCTGGAGGAGGCTCATCAGGCACCTGTGATTCCCATCGCTTTCACAGAGTCCCAGGGGATAGGTTGACGGGAAGAGGCAGGGGACCCAGTTCAGCACTGCTCATGCCTGTGGTGCTGGTGATAGCCCGCTCCCAGCAGCCTGCCTCCATCCGGAGGTGACAGCACCATTGAGTACTGGATGCTGCTGCTGTCACCTTGAATGAAGTATTTTTGTAAAACCCAAACCAGGAGAGAGGACAGCTACTGGCCTGAAGGGAAGCGTGCAGCCATGGAGGACAGGTACCGAGACTTCCCACGGCCGGATCACCACTTCCATGACTTTGACCATCGGGAGCGTGGCCACTACCAGGAACATGTCATAGACAGGTCAGTTCCTCCCCTGCAGCTGCTCCCCAGGGTCATCAGGTGTGGCAGGTGGGTCCTAGTGCTCTCTGAAAAGCTCATTGCTTCCTGGGACCTCCAGGAAAACTGGAGGTATCACCAGGGAATACCAGACACCCTGTACCCACACAGTGGCTCCGCTGTCTTGATTGCCAAGGCCCCTCATGCCTCTTAGAGGGTGCTAGTGCATCCTGGGCCTGCGCTCACACTGTACTCCCCCTTTCCTGGGGTCTTGTCAGGGCTGTTACTCCCGCTCCCCAGGCTGTCTGTATTCCAGATCAACTCACCCCTGTCCATTGTAGGCGCAAGACCGGTATCCTTGGTCTCGGGCTTTATGGAGACTGTTGCTGCCTGTTCTGCCCTGGCTCCCACCTCCAGAGAAGAGCCTTCCGTCTAACAGTCCCATCCTTGCCATTGTATTCCTAGGACAGAGATGCTGATGGGGAAGGGGGATACAGAACTTGTCCCCAAGGGAGCCTTCTGCCTCCACCCTACTCCCATGCGCTCCCATATCATTGCCCTGTTCCCTTTGCAGGAGAGATGGATCCAGACCAGGAATGGAGGAACATGACAGGCAGGTGAGTGGCTGTGGCCCCTGCTGGGGAAGGAACAGCAGCTCAATTGCCCCTTAGTTGGGAACTTGGTGTCTTTGCCCTAAGGACCTTCATTGCCCCTCCAGTTGAGCTGTGTGCTGGGTGTCAGGAGAATACACCATGGTCTGAGTCTCCAGAGAGGAGATAGGATCCTGTGGGATGGGGCTTAGGTCAAGACAGGGCTTTAGAAAAGCTTGTCCCCTTGTTCCTTGGTCAACAAGAGAGCTCCAGTGGGGTGTGCACAGGCTGAGCTGCCTCATAGGTACTTTGCCACCCAGCTTTGTTGGACATCTAGGGGATGTGGGCTCAGTGGGGACAGAGGCTTGGTAGAGTATTGGAGCCGGGCCCTGTGTGTGCATGGGCCCCAGGAAACACCCCCGTCTCTCTCGTGCCCTCCTGCAGCACTACCTAGATGACCACCACAGCCACGGAGCCACCCTTGAGCACCACGGCTGGGACTCCCGGGACAGCTGGCGTGGCTACGGCCCTGACAAGGTGAATGAAGGCCAAGGCCTGCCCCCTACCCCCAGGTAAGTGCCCTCTGCAGGAAGAGCCTGGGGTGGCTTCTGGGTGCTCACGGAGGGGACAGGTGGTTTGAGGTGGAGCACAGGCTGGCTTCCACGCTGTCTGCTGACAGTCCCTCAGTAGAGCCTGTAGTAGAGTGTTTTCATACTGAAAACTATGCCACAGCAGCCTGCATGTCACCCACCCGGACTGTGCACCACGAATCCACCTTTCTGGCTGTGTTCCCCATCCCAGGTGCTTCCCATCCTGCAGACATAATGCACACATGCGCGCGCGCGCGCGCGCGCGCACACACACACACACACACGTGCCCCTTTGTGTCTGGGTCTCACTGAATACTGTCCTTGAGACCCCTCTATGCTGTGATTTAGGGTGGTCCTGTCTACCACAAAATAACATACTGTGGGCACTGCCATTTTCTCCCCATTGGGCTGTTAGAGCAAGGTGTGCCGTGCCGTCAGCTGTGGGTCATGCTGCCAGCATTTGCTGCCCATGTGTTTGTCTCAGCATGAACCACTGTGACTGCTTGTGGCCTTACAGTGTGGGTACCTTGGTGACTCTCCTTTCCCTGGTGGTGCCTGGCACCTTAATTGCCCACTTCTGGCCACAGTCCCATCTTTGAAGATGCCGTGGAGTGGGGCTCTTTCTAGTGTGATAGGAAGTGAGTGGGGACAGCCATGTTCTGTTTGTCAGAGTCGGCAGAGAATGGGCAGAGCACAACTCACGGTTGGAGGAGCAGCAGATTCCCGCCTGGCACAGTGCTGTGGACACAAACACGACAGGCCATGAGCACATACGGTGGCGAGGTACCAAGGGGGGTGCTAGGGGTGGATGAGCACCAGGTCCATAGTACAGGCAGAGTCTACACAGAGCTATTTGTCCTACAGGTGCCGAGCAGGGCCTTGCGGGACCTGGGCATGCGCATGTGGCAACAGGCCGCGGTGGCATGGCTGGGTAAGAAGGCTACAATGCCAGCCACTGTCTTCTCCTTTCTCCCTCCCTCTGCACACTGGCTTGTCTGGTGTGGAGAGTGAACTGTATAGGGTCCTGTTCTCCGCAAGGTGGAACCTTGTAGTACCAGGCTTGACCATTGCAAACCATCTACCTTTGTTCTAGGCAAAGCAGCTTTGCACATGGTGGACATTCCCAGGGCCATGTGTTACCTGCTGGTGGACTAGAAGGTGGTGGCATGACCAGCCAGGACCAGGGTGGCAGAGTCCTCCACCCCCACCTTCACCCGCACTTCACCCGCCGCTACTGAGTTGCCGTGGACCAAACCCTGCCGCTCCATGAAGGCAGAGGCTGTAGCTCAAGCCACTTTGCACTTAATGGCACCACCAGCAGTCGCAGGTTCTGCCACGTGTCTGTGTGAACTCACTCTCCTGGTGTTTTTAATAAACATGTCCTATTCTGCCATTTGTAAGACAAGGGATCTGTTGTCAGGCATTCCATATCCCTCGAATGGCCTGTTCCATCCCGCCCAGCTCCTGTGGCTGCAGCTGTGTCCCTGCTCTTGGCCCATGCTCAGGGCCTAGCCTCAGGCGTGGCGAAATTGGAATCTCAGCCAAACCTGCCTCTAGCTGTGAGGTTGGGGTGACAGGTTCTCCTGGCAGAGCGACATCTGGGCTTCTGGGAGTTTTCTGTGTCAACCAACTGCTGGAGAAGTGTCCATAGTAGCTGGCCTGTAGTGCCTGAGAGCTCCAGAGGCAGCCACAAACATATTTTGAAGGATAGGGATGTGGTGAGGAAGGGCTGTGGTGTTGAGGGACAGCTGTAGAGCCACCAGCCACCTTTCCTCATCTAGACCTGGTACAGAAACCTGAGATGGCTTTCCCTAAGGGCCTTGAAAAGCCACAGCCTGATGGTACCCAGTCAGGCAGTGTCAGCCAGGCTTTAGCTGCAGAACAACTCACCTCAACATCCATCCCCATCCCTCTGATCACAGGCTCAGCTGTGAGCATCCAAACCCCTGTGACCATGGCACGAGGGTAAGAGGTCCCTGCATGGTGACTGAGGGTCAGATTGGGTTTTCCTGAGCAGTTGACTGCACCACAAACTGACTATGAATTCACTGGGTTCTCTGAGCCACAGTAAGTTGTCCAGCTTGCCTTGGGCCATCTCTGAGGATCCTTGTGTTCACCCAACACCAGTGCTGGGTGGTACCAAGCCTGCCTCTGTGTTTCTCAGCCTGCCAGACTGCATCTTGCCACACCTCAGGCCAGCAAGGTCTGTCCCCGAGGCTGTATTTGGTCCCCTGGGATTTCAGCCTTGCTGCGGCTTTATTAAAGAGTGAGGAGGCAGGTGGAACATGCTCCTTGTTGCACTGGGGCCTGCTGAGCACCTCAGCAATTCCAGCTCTGTTGGCAGGGTTAGCGGTCCACATGGCATCCCAGTACCAGCATTGAGGCTGGCAAGACCTGTTTAGGCCAGTCAGGACATCCCAGACCTCAAGGACACTACTCAGGACAAGCCAGACACCAGATGCAGACTGCAATCCTCGGGCACAGAAAAAAAGTGGCGTGGGTGCTCGAAGCTGGGAGAGGATGTGTGGAATGTGGACATAGCTTTGTTGCGCTGAGACTGATAGGATCCTCAGCAGGTGGATGGTGGACATGACCACCCAAACTTGAGAATGAGCTTCCTGCCTCCAAGCTTTGTCCTGAAAAAGTTAAGGTGGTAAACTTCATGCTTGGGGTAGTGTTGAAGGAGCCCACCCTCCACGTAGGCCAGCTGGCCTCAGACTTGCAACCCTGCCCTCCTACATGTGCCGCTGTCCTGCCTACTGGAGGACTGTTTACTGCCCAAAGGCCTATGGTGCCTCGCATACAGCAAGTGCTTAATAAATGCTGAGAAGCAGAAGTGCTGGGCTGACCAGTTCCTGCCTCCTGTAAGCCCTACCTGTCCCTGCCCCATCCCTGTCGCCTGCCCCTCAGGTGCAGGGTTACAGTGGGGTATCATGAAACGGAGGGGATATTTTGCTAGTGTACCTTGTAGTCTACTTTTAAGACATCTGGTCACTGGGTGTCATGGCATACATGCAAGTTCAAGGCCAGCCTGGATTACATTACCAAGTTCTAGGACAAAAGAAACATCTCACTGTGGCTAGTGACAGGTGTGTCGCAGTCCTTGAGGACACCATAATTAGTTAACACTGAAGTCATTCAGGATGGTTACCCCCCAGGCAGCAACTCACATAACCCAGTCCCTGTCCCTTCAGACTGACCGGGTCCCCTGGCCACATACTAATGTCACCTGGTTCGGAACAAGTATTCAGGGACCTGCCCTCTTGAGCTTGCTGCACACGATTGATCCTGGTCTCAGCTCCTTCATGCCTACACCTTTCCAGGCATCTGTTACTCTGCCCCTGACCACGCCCCCAGTCCCTCACTGGGGGATTCTAGGCAGGGCTCCACACCTTATCATGGCTTCTGCCTCGGGTTATTTTTGGGGAGTTGGAGGGGGCTCGCCACAGGGTTTCTCTGTGTAGTCCTGACTCCTAGAACTCACTCTAGACCAGGCTGGTCTCAAACTCAAAAGATCCACCTGCCTCTGCCTCCTGAGTGCTGGGATTAAAACTGCGCGCCACCACCGCCTGGCTGAAATGTTTTTCATCCAATATATTTTGATCATGTCTTTCCCTGCCACCTGTTGAACTTTGTTCTTTTTTGTTCTTCAGTAACACAGGCACAGAGAAAAACCACAAAGTCAAAAAATAAAACATGCAAGTAAACAACCAATAAGCCCAAAAACAATTCTCAAGGAAAGCAAAATAGACTGTTGGGTTCGTTTTATGTTGGCCAGCTACTGGGCATGGGGCCTGCCCTGGTGTGTGGTTAGTAAATCAGCACATTCATTGAAGAAAGCTGCTTTTCCTTCTCTCACGGTATCAGTTGGAGGTTTACAGCTTCTTTGGTAGGGTGGAAGCTCCAGTCTTTGTTTGTTTGTTTTTCGAGACAGGGTTTCTCTGTGGCTTTGGAGCCTGTCCTAGAACTACCTCTGTAGACCAGGCTGGTCTCGAACTCACAGAGACCCGCCTGCCTCTGCCTCCCGAGTGCTGGGATTAAAGGCGTGTGCCACCATCGCCCGGCGGGAGCTCCAGTCTTTCCCCTGTGTGTCAGTCCTGTTGTGTCTGGAAGACAGTTTTCAGGTAGACTTTCTGAGGTGTGGTGGAGACCTCCCATTTATGCTGCACTCCCGACCTCACTTTCTGCACCTTGTCCAGCTGTGGGTCTCTGTTCATTCCTATCCGCTGTGGGAGGGAGCTTCCCTGATGGTCCGGTCCCTGACACCATCATCCAGGCAGCGAAGGCAGGTCCATGGATTCCAGAACACCCTATCCAACAAACTGGCTCCTAGCTCCTTGCTCAAGCAGGTGTTGTTGGGCTGTGAGTTCCAGCTGTCATCTATAATGTCATGTTAGCAAGGCCCTTGTCTCCAGCCTCCCACATGCCAAAGCCACCAAAGGTGTCTCAAGCCTTCTAGACCCGTCCCACCCTCCCCATGGGGACTGAGAAGCCAGCAGGAGCCCGTGGAATGGCTCTCCCAGGAGGCACTGGTCTTTCTGCAGGCGTGACCAAGTATTGAGAGTGGCTTTCAGTGTCTACTTCCTGTTCCTGGGGTCACCAGAGTGACCATGAGCTGGGGTTCCCACATGTTCCTCGCTGTTCTGTCATTCACTTCCAAATGCTTCTTGTGACACATCTGCCACTTGGCTTCCTAGAGGTGACCAGCCGGAACAGTCTTCCCAGAGAGGGAACAGCGTATGCAGGCACCCTAGGCAGTACCCACAGCAGGCTTCAGCCCTGGAGGCGAGAGACTGAAGGATGCTACCTTTTGTGATGCTACCTTGCATGTCTTTAATCCCAGCACTCCAGAGGCAGAAGCAAGCAGATCTTGAGGCCAGCCTAGTCTACAGAGTGAGTTCCAGGACAGGCTCCAAAGAGAAACGCTGTCTCGGAAAAATAAAAATAATAAAATTTAAAAAGCCAGGCAGTGGTAACGCAAGGCGCACGCCTTTAATCCTAGCGCTCTGGAGGTAGAGGCAGGCAGATCGCTGAGAGTTCGAGGTCAGGAAAAGAAAAGAAAAAGAAAAAAGAGAAAAGAAAAAGGTAGAAGGGAGAGACAGGCACAGGCCTGTTGAGGGGGCGGGGCTCGTTTTCAGACCTACCACTTCTTCCCCGCATGGCCACAAGGTGACGCCTAAGAGCCACGCTGTGCCAAGGAGTCCCCACTGCCTGAGATCCTGGGACCTTGGTGGTGGCTAGTGTGGATCCTCCCCTGTACCCAAAGTCTCTGGAGGCCCCGAGATCCAGCGAGATTTGGCCTGAGCCAGACTCAGAATCCAGAGTTGCTCTCCATCCTTGGCTACATCACAAGCCTGGGCTACATGAAGCCCCCCCAAATAACTATAATAACAAATGAGGGGAGGCATTGGGCAGGCTCAGTGAGGAAAAGTACTTAACAACCAAGCCTGACAACGGGAATTCCATCCCACAAGGTGTCCTCTGCCTTTCGTGTGCAAGCACACACACAGACACACAAGTAATTTTTTTTTAATTAGGAAAAAGCTGCAGACCCTCTTCCCCATGGCCCTGGCCCTCGCTGTAACCAGTGGGTCCCCATCAGTGGGTCCCCATGAGTGACACTCAAGAGCTCAGCATATGGGTGATAGGTGGGGATGTGGGGACCTGGTCACCCACTCACCGACTGCCCCCGCTAGAGCTCAGTTTTCCCGTGTGCTGTGGGTTGAATGTGAATGACTCAGGTGCACTATGCCCTGGTCTGACTGTCCACACAGGGACCACACAGCTGTCTGAGCCAGGATCCTCAGCCCAGTGACTGATTCTGCTTCCTGCAGTCACACAGCAAAGTAGACCAGTGTGGGTGGGATCTGTGGTTTGTATTGAAAGAGCCCCCAACCTCCACTGCCTAGAATCCTCCAGTGACGGGCTGAGGGCGTGGTCATGGTGGAGCTCCGCCTAGAATCCCCAGTGAGGGGCTTGAGGCGTGGCCAGGGTGGAGCCCCGCCTAGAATCCTCCAGTTAAGGTTGTCATTTCCCTAATGTATGCCCAGCCTTGGATTCCATTCCAAGTTGTTTTTGTTTTTTGATTTTTTTAGATTTATTTATTATTATGTATACAGCATTCTGCCTCGATGTGTGCCTGCACGCCAGAGGAGGGCGCCAGATCTCAGTACAAATGGTTGTGAGCCACCAGGTGGTTGCTGGGAATTGAACTCAGGACTTCTGGAAGAGCGGCCAGTGCTCTTAACCTCTGAGCCATCTCTCCAGCCCTTGTTTTTTGATTTTTTTTTTTTTTTGAGACAGGGTTTCTCTGTAGCTTTGGAGCCTGTCCTGGAACTAGCTCTCTTAGATCAAGCTGGCCTCGAACTCACAGAGATCTGCCTGTCTCTGCTCCCCGCCTCCCCTCCAGTGTTGGAATTTAAAGCCCATTACAAGCTTTTTGTGGTTTGAGTTTTCGTTGTTTGTTTGGTTTCAAGACAGGGTTTTGCCCTGTTTCCATCACACCTGTGCTCCATCAAACCCACAGGGACCCATTGATTACAGTGAGGGCCAGGGCCATGGGGGCTGCAGCGGGTGGAGGCCACCTGAGCTGAGACGGTTGTCTGTGCTTTGACTCTTTGGAGGGATCGTGGCTTTGTGTTGTGGCCCAGGCAGCGGCAGCAAACTCGGATAATCCCTGAAGAGCTGGAGGCTCAGGCCACAGCGTGGAACCAGCCAGCTCTCATCTTGGCAGACATTTGAATTTGCTTTTCAAGAAGTCACTTTAACAGTTCCCCTTTTCCTACTGTACAGTGCAGTGTTGGTTCTTGATTCACAGGTACTTCCGTGTAGCCTTCACTATCCTGGAACTTGCTCTGTCAACCAGGCTCGAACTCACAGAGATCTACCTGCCTCTGCCTCCGAGGGCTGGGATTAAAGTTATGCGCCACCACAGCCCGGCCTCCATTCCAAATTTTACATCAAAGATGTGCCCTTTTCATAAACATTCTATGCCTTCTGTTCATTTCTTTAATCTACTATTGGTTCTTGTTGATTTACAGAAACTTTATATACTGTGAAGTCAGGCTTTAGGTGTCGACTGTCATGGGTTTTCGTCAGCTTCGTCCCTGTTCCCCTGTGTGAAGTGTTTGGGTGTAGGTGTTGTCAGCTATTAATCTCGTAATTAGAGCCTCTTGGATTTAATGTCACCCAACACAGCACACTGAGATGTATGATTTTCCTGTGTATTTTCCTTGTTGGGGGGGGGGTGTCAAGATCCCACTCTATAGACCAGGCTAGCCCTGTTCTCTCAGGGATTCCCCCTACCTTTGAAGTACACAAAAATGTCACTGGTGCTGAATTTTTAGAATTGTTTTTCTCCGTGGAATCAAATTTAACACCTTCTAGAGTGTTCTCTCGGCAGAGCCATTCCTGGGTGAGTGTGCGTCAGGAGACTTGTGACAACATCTTTTTTTTTTTTTTTTTTGTGACAACATCATCTTACAAGGCGCCGGTGGACAGAGACACTGAGAGGCTCAGGGAGAGACAAGGTTGCCCATGACAACGCCGAGTCTGTGTCAGAGGGAAAACTGCTCCATCCTGTGGGGCAGGCAAGGAAGACACATGTTGCATTCTGGGTAAGCCCCCTGAGATGAGATGCTTCTGGCACCCCCAAAAAGGGCTGCGAGGATCAGGAGGCTGGGGCTACCCCTTTCCCCACTGGGCCCTTGCTGAACTGTGTTAGGTGGTAACTGGGCAGTTGGGAATGGTGAACTTTTAGTCATCCCCTGAAGCCCTAGCTCCAATGGCCTCATGAATGATATTCTCCCAGCCCAACCCAGATGGGATCTGTCCCCCTTACTCAGGCCGTGACCACATAGGCTGGAGAATCTGTCCCCTGTCCCCAACTAGAGGACCAGGGATGGCGAAGGCCCAAGACTGAAGTTTCTCTGGGTTCCACCAACCCATAGGCAGTGCAGTGTAGATGAGGGAGAAAGTTCTGGTAATGGGTGTGCGGGTTACACTGTGCTCCTTGCGTTCCTCTTCTCTCTCTAGCCTCGCTCCCTCCACTCCAGCAACAGGGCCAACTCCCAGCTTCTCCAACACACCAGGGTCTCTCCTGCTCTGTGGTCTCTGCCCCAGGGCCTTAGCATCTGTGCAAAGACAGGAAAGGTTGCCGTGGAGGCCCGGGCAGAGCCAACAAACCTCACCAGCCCTCCTCCCTCCCCTCCCCGCCCCCGTGGGCTGCTCCTGCAGCAGGGCGTGCCTGGGAAGGGGTGGAGGGGCGGGGGCGGGTGGCCTAGCCGGTCAGGCAGGAGCTGGCCTGCGGAGTCTCAGGCTGGCGGCGGCCATGGAGGGGCTGCGTCGCGGGCTGTCGCGCTGGAAGCGCTACCACATCAAGGTGCACTTGGCCGACGAGGCGTTGCTGCTGCCACTGACCGTGCGGCCCCGCGACACGCTGAGCGACCTGCGCGCGCAGCTGGTGGGCCAGGGCGTGAGCTCGTGGCGCAGAACCTTCTACTACAACGCTAGGCCTCTGCCAGACCACCAGACGGTGCGCGAGGCGCGCCTACAGGACGGCTCGGTCCTGCTGCTGCTCAGCGACCCCAGGTGATTAGGGAGAGAACCTGAGCTGGGGACCTGGGCTGGGGGGTCTGGGCTGGGGACCTGGGCGAGGACCTGGTAGGATCACGGGCTCTGGCTTATGGAGGATGGCCTGGTGGGGTGGTGGTGGCTCAGGGATGGGGTGAGAGATACCACTGTGCTGGGTCCTGTTCTCTGCCCCATTGGCTCCGTAGGTCTGTGGTGTTGGCTCCAACAGCGGCTCTTGGTACCTCCCTTTCCTGCCCTCCTCTCTGGGTCCTTGTCTCTATCTCTGCAGATCTCTGGGCCTCCCTCCCCGCGTTTCCTCAGACCTCTGTCTGTCTGTCTGTCTCCATCCCTCCTTCAGTGTCTGTCCATTCCTGTTGGAGGCACACAGAGCAAGCAGCTCTGAGGATTGCTGTACACTCCCAACACTCCCAGCTCCGACCCCATCACAAGCGGGAGTGAGGGGGGGTAGGAGGGTGTGTGGGGGGGAACACGACGACACTGTGGTCAGAGTGTGGTCTAGTGAGACCAGGTGATGTCTTCATGAGTACAAACATTTTAGCGGGCTACCTGGAAAGAAAACCCAGCGGTGGCTGCTTTTGTCTTAACCTGTGTCTTTCTTTGTGACCCCTCAGGTAACTGGGTCTGGAGGAGTTGGAGCCATGATTTTTGGAATGCAAGCTGGCTGAAGGAGCAAATGGGCCGGGGGCGGCACACTTCTGTCTTCCTGGGAGCCCAGCCTTATTCCAGGTAAACCATTCAAATGGGTACCTTAGACATGGTAGAATCCACAGATGGGAAAACTGAGGGCCTATGGGACACTGACCTTACTTTCCCACCTCCTAATGCTGGCTTGGCACTATTGCCGCCAACTTGCTGTGTGACCTTGCAAAGTTCCCTGCTCCCCCCTGGCCTCACTGTGATGCAGGCCCATACTGACCACCACACACAAGGATGTTTGCTTGTGCTCGGCCTGCAATTCCTGTAACAACCACCAGGGTGCACTAAGGCAGCTTTGCCTGCAATTCCTGTGGCGTCCACCAGGGGGCTTCAAGCACTATGGCTGTCTACAGGAGAAGGTCTCCAAAGGTCCTGGGTGACCACTGCACTCCCCATCCACACTCAGATCCAGGCCATTGGGAAAGGGTTAGAAGGGTCATTGGCTGAAAGTTGCTGGTTCACATCACTGGGACCACATGTTCCTTGCAGATTCAGGTGCTGGGCTCCCAGGTAGATGTGACACCTGGGCCCAACTGATGCCCACTGCCTCCCAGATGCTTTCCAGTCCACCAGCAAGGAGTCTTACGGTTTCTCCATGGCCTTGTGACCACTCCCTCCCCTGGGAGCCTCCACCACCTGAATCTTCGACTGTGCCCTCATCCAGGAAGCCCTCCATCAACAGGCACAGTTCCTTCTTTGGTGACCCACAAGGCTCCAGCTCAGAACGGTTCTGGCTACAGGAGGATCTGGTGGGGCCATGACCAAGGAGACTCTGATCTGAGGGGACTCGATGAGCCTACGTATGTGCAAAGTGATCTGCCACGGACTGTGGATGCTCTCCTCCGCAGCCCAGTATTGGGGTGCTGTGCTGAGTCTTCGGGAGGCCCCCCATGCTGTGGGCTGCATGGTGGGCCCAGAAGGCAATACATCCTAATTAAGAGTTGTACAGGCCTCAGGGTGCGGAGGTGGGGACTGAATCTTGGCCTTGGGGAGCTGGGCTACTGAGCATGCACAAGTGTGCCGGGGCCTCAGGGGTCTCCTTTGCTCGGCTGTGGGGGTAGCCGCAGTCCCTGGGGGGGGGGGG